CCCAATTAACAGGCCCTCCTACCCGCTTCAGCAGCATAACATCAAAAAAACACAGCTGAGAAAAGAGACTGCTGCTCATGGTGAGAGCTTCAATAGGCAGCTGCAGCACATGCTGACTAGACAAGGTAGAAAAAACGAGGGAAGAATGAGGGGAGATAATTATATTTTAATTACATTTTCAAGCACAACATGTTTTGTATGTTTTTTTTATTCCCCCACTCAGACATCTGTCTTTGGCATTGTGTTTAAGAGAGCGTTGTGTTTCTTACTCTGTGACATGACATCTTATTTAACTTTGACCTCATACAAAGAGGTCAGAGGTCAGGATCATCTAGAGATCATCGTCATCATTAAACCTGCTCTACATTTATAACTATAACTACGATTTGATAGGATGATTTGGGTTTCTTTTGTCTTTCAGGTATACTTCTCCAGACTTCTTGTATGTACGCTCCTGGCTCCCATGCATATTCTTCTCAGGTGGTGTTACTGTGGGAAACATCGGACGTCAACTTGCCATGGTAAAGCCTGAAACCATTTTGATATGTAATCCTATAATTTAATGGTAAAAAAGGAAGAAAAATACAGTATATTTAAATTATATAAACATGAGTTTGGCTGATTCCATTATTTTATGGTAAGGATGTAAGTTCACCTCAACCTGCTTTAAAAGAATAATTTACCTACAAATTAAGATTTTGGACTGATACAGACATATTTACAAACAAAATTTTATTTTTCAACTGTAAAATGTTGTAATAGTGCATATCTCGGTCAATTCTCTAAAAAAAACTATTTTGGGAGTTCCTCATGAAAAAATGTCAGTTATGTGTTTGTTTTTTTTTATTTACTATAAAATATTGATATCGGAATTGGCCTCCAAAATCCAATATCAGTCGGGCAACATATATACAGTACATGTGTATTTAAAAATACATGAGTGAGCGCTGCTGTGTGTTGGCATTATCAAGAACAACATAAATGGGCAGAAGCTGTTGCAAAAATGGGACCAAAGTTGATATATGAACCCAAACAGCTCATACATCACAATGCACATGTTCTAAAGACAACAGGCTCCAGGTCCCAAAGTTTAGTAATTGTCTCAGCATCTGCTAGTGTTTCCCCTCCATTTAAAAAAATAAAAAATAAAAAATAAAATCTGACAGTGATCTTGGATTCTTGCTGTTTTGTGTTCCTAAACAACTGAACAAGAGTCAGAAAGTCATGAATACAGCTTGTCTTATATGTAACTAGGCACCTTTTTGGACGAAATAGATCTTGTGACAAACTTTTAAAGACCTAGTGGTACAGAATTGTGTTGCTGTACATGAGCAGAAGAAAGGGAACATTTAAATTCATTATGTATTTGACATTTCATTAAGTTTAATAGCTTAAACGTTCTGTATGTGTAACATCTAAACGGCTACCAAACCAGTTGCAGTACAATAGTGGAATGTTTTATAGTTACAAGATACTCTTGATCTTGATCCAGAGGGTTTTTCCAGTTTGCCGAGATTATAAATCAGGGGTAAACACCTGTGGGGATGTTTTGAAAATTGTTGGTCTGTCGTATTTGCATAGCAGTACACATTTACAAGTATCAGCCTTCAAACATCTGTATTTGTTGAACTCCCCTGCACTCTGTCTAAACCGTGGAACATAAAAGGAGGACTTCAAAAGACTCCTCTGCGCCATGCATACTTTATTTTCAATTATTTGGCTGAACCACAACAGCTGATAACATTGTCAGATGGTTTAAAATTGTGCAAAGTGCATGGGACGCCCCCTTTTCTTTATAATTATCCCATCACGTCAGCTTTGATGTCTTCATTAAGCTTGTGCCCGGAAGCCTCACCTCATTCTGTCTGTAAAGTAAGAGCCCCGTCACTCCCTCAGTTTGACTCGGTGAAAGCGTGAAAGCAGATTAAGGGCTGTTGTTTTTCACAGTCGTGGCAGGACACAGAGCCAGTCAGGACTCGGCTGACCAGAGGGTCATTTGCTACTTGTTGTTTTTGTTTGTGATGAGGCCTGAGGAATGTTGGCACAAGTCTGTACTCGTGGTTTTGTTCTCTGTTTTTCTCTCTTTCGCTCCAGTGAGTCATTTATGAGAAGGATCAGGAGGAACATGAGACTTTTTTTGGGGGGGATAAAGAGGTTACAATGCAACAATCTGTTTAGCAGCATAAACCATGCAGAATGAAAAAACAAAAAAACAAGCATTGCTCTGTCCAGCTCTTGCGCTTATTTTATCTGCTTTAAAGCTGCATGACTTTACCATTTTATTTGAAATTACAGTCAGATGTGTAGTTTAATTGGAACCAATGACCAAATAGAAAATATTTAAGCAGTAAGCAGTTTCCTCAAACAGTACTTTCTTCCTTTATTGTACACAATGTTCAGCCGCCATTTGGGGTTAAAAAACAATCTTTCAATGGAATGGAACTGAAAGAAAAAATTAGCTTTCTTTAAAAACAATATTGGCACTTAGAGTAGTCCGGATTTGTTCATAATGCAGTAAACAGGTCCTTATTTACTTGAAAAGCTACTAATTGCCCACAGAGTTTGGTTTTTGAGTTTACAGGAAACAGAAACTAATGTGTTCATGTGTGATTCATGTCTTGAAAGTGAGTCACCTGAGGCTGTTTCCCCAAATCAATTTCCCTGTCATGAAAACAAAACAATAGTTTGAGTAATCAAGAAGATAAATGTTCTTCAGTGCTTACATAAAATTGACTATAGCCACTTCCAGGCAATAAAGCTGTTCTTTGATTTTGCTGTAAACAACTGTGTGACTTTGTAACTACAAATATTCTAGCTGTTTTTCTAATTGCTGCATTACATTGAGTGCCTGATATGTTAATAACACCGTCTTGTCTGTCTCCCCTCAGGGCGGTGTAGAGAAACCCCACATGGACTAAACAACGGAAAGGCAGAAAACCAGGTGAAGGACAGCTGATGTAAAAATGGACAAGTTATGTGAAGAACGAGAAGAATAACAGGAGAAAAAAGACTCATTGTTTCGACTTCATCCTTTTGTTCTCATAACAAAGTGTGGGTCAGAAAAGCCCCTCATCTAATGTGCCATGTCCTCTGCTCCTCCTTGTGGCCAAATAACCTCTCCCTCCCACCTCTGTTGTACTCCATTAGCATTAAGGCTTCCTTCACACAAGACAGGAGAATGGTGTTTGCCTTTTTTTCTCTCGTTATTTTGAAGTGTTGACTGATTTTTACTTTCACGCTGATGTATCTTCCTGCAGTTTATGGAGTGGAAGCGTGCGTGTGTGCTTTAGCATGGATGTATCCTGGTCTTGGCAGAGAAGACATGAGGCGGTGCTAAAAGTCTGTTTTATTTTTTTATTTTGTATTAGCATGAATAGAATATAATCATAAAAGGGAAATGAGTGGGCAAAAAAAATGTCTTCACTCTCGCATAGAAATGTATTCAGCAGCCTCAGTTGCATCACTGAGACACAGGGGAGATGTATGTTCCCGGTCAAACCAAATTAAGTATTTATTTTGTACATTTTGAATTACCCCAAACCAACTGTACTTTATGTTTGATAATGAACGGTGGAATAGTTTTGACATTTGGTGAAATGTTTAGGAGGTTGCTTCTCTTACTAAGAGTTAGATGAGGAGATTCATACCGCTCTGATATCTGTACAGTATGAATGTAGCCAAAGTCAGCAGCTGGTTAGCTTAGCGCAAAAACTGGAAACAGGGGGAAACCGCTAGCCTGGCTCTGCTGAAGGTAACATCCACTTACCAGCATCTATAAAGCTCACTAACTAATATGTTTGTTTTCGAATAAGCTAAGCTGAGTGGCTGCTGGCACTAGTTACTAGTTCTATTTACCATACAGACACGAGTGGTATTGATCTTCTCGTCTAAGTGGAATGCCTCCTTTAATGTGGTTATGAAACATATTGTAGAGGACAGTAGATGGAATGAAGAGAGATAGGAAATATGTACAGGAGTGCCAACTACCAATTTGTACTTACTGATACTCATTTGTGTACATATAAATGACAAGAGATATACTACACGTGTTAAGAAATTTGGAGCAGAAACTGCAAACCATTTAGGTTCCTCAATGGAAATTAGTCCTATTTACCTGTGAGTAGTATCACATTCACAGCTGTCAGTTAGCACAAGATCACACTTACTTTTTGGAAAACTATCCTGAGACCTTCCATTGTGTCTGCTGTTCCTGAGAAATTTCACCCACACAGACAGGACTGTTGTAGGGAGAATTAAGACATCAAAACATTAATTTGAAAGAAATGCCAGCATATGCTAATTTAATTTTTTCTTAATCAGCTGAGTGAGGAAGGCCACCATGGTGGAGCGTGTTTTGAAAGAATGTATCAGGAATATACTACAACAATCTTTGCCAGCATCAGTGGTTACTGTTAAACCAGCTTAAAACACTTTTCCAGTGACCTGCTTTTTCTTCGCTGACAGGTGTTAAATGTCGGAGAACGGGCCTTTTTATTCCCATCGACAAACATTTTGCTGTGTGATTGTGCACATGTCCCACTTCACACTGTGTCTTCAAACTAGCGATAATAGCTTGGGAACATATACCGGTTGAAGGAGGGGGCAGGATATTATTAATTAAGATTTGCAATCTGTGATTGCCTGTGTATTATAGAATGTAGTGCTTTTGTCACTATAACAGTTAAGTTTTATCATTTCTACAATGACATTACTGCTTGTATGTACAATGGCTTGCCTATGTAATCAGATCAATACTAGACCTACAGTATGTTAGTTAGTGTTTGGGGGTCTAGAGGATTAAGTGCAATCAGAGTATACATGAGCCGATTATTCTTCCTTATTTATTATTATTTCTGATGATGGCTAAAATAAATATAAGTTGTTGTAAATATATGCAGTGGGCATACTTCAAAAAAAGCAATAACATCCTTGTTTTTTGTGAACAAGTTTATTTGTCAAAATACACGCTTTTAGAGTCAATACCAATGAGAGAGAGACCGTAAAAAAAAAATATTGTGTCAAGCTGTTGTAAAAAGTCTCAAATAGTAGCATTATTGAAGGAAACCTGATTTATTTTTTTAAGTACTTCTTTATGGCAGATCACGTCAAGTTGAATCTGCTCACATTCAGGTGTGCTAAACTGAAGAGGAAGCTTTATTTTTTTGAGGTGGTGAAGCACCTTTTGTTTCGATGTTTCGGAGTTTGTGTGTCTGATATTTCCGCTGTGTATCATTTTTGCTACCATGGATTTAAGTGAAAAATAAAAAAACACCTGACAAGGACATCTGCATGTAGTCATCACTCACATATGCAACTGGATGAAGGGATGTAAAACTAGTTTATTATTCAAGATGAAAATAAGAATTATGTATATACTGTATATTATTTGTACAGTATCAATGATACTGATTGATATCCTTTCAGCCAGAAAGAAAAAACAGAACTTAACACTCTCTAGCTTCCCTTCCAGTGATATAAACCTGATACATACATACATACATACATACATACATACATAACATACATAATGCAACTGAGCTTCAGCAAATGATTTTGCCTTGGATTAGACCCTAGCCTAATTACATGTCTGAACAGCTTCAGTAAAACAATAGCCCTCTTTTTTTTTAAGGGTTTCAAATGCGGCCGCAGCTCAATTGCACCCGAGCTTTCTGGGGTGCTGATGATGGCATTTGTTGTGTCTGCTGTCACGGCCAAGTTGAATAGATCAGGACACTCTTTTGTCTGGGGTCCCTGTCAGTCTCCAGAGCCATTATAATGTCCTCGGCTGCATCTTTCCTCTCTCTGCTCTCCTCTGCAAGACCCTTCCATCCGCCTCCGCCCTCCCAAAACCCCTGAAACTACCCCCCACCTCCTGTGTGTCACTGGGATCATGAGGAACTGGGCCTCCTCCCTCCTCTGTCTACCCCCTCTCTGAACACGCCTTTCTGGAGGGCAGACTTCTATTTATACCTAGCGGGGGACTGACAGTTAACCTTTTGCACTGGGGGAAATTTCTGGGAGTGGGGCCAATATCTGTGGGCTGTTCTGAATGAACCCCTCGTTCTGGGGTATCTATCTATCTATCTGTCTATCTATCTATCTGTCTGTTCTCTCCCTCTCTCTATGTATCTATGGGTCTGACTCTCTCTCTCTCTCTGACAGGCCAACGATCCAGCGCCACACGCCACTTCTTCTTCGCTCTCCCTTCTCTTTCAGTCTCCTCCTCTTCTCGGGCAAAATAATTGGCCGGGCTTCAACCTCCTTTCATTACCAGCCACAGCACACTGAAAGACTCCATTAGAGCGCCTCCTTATTGCCAAAAACAACCCCCTCTCTCTTCCTTGTACTCTCTCTATCCTTCCTTCAAGGCGAGAAGACAGGCCGGGGCACATCTGATCTATTGATTTGAGCCATCTATAGGTTCTCCTGCTAGACTCTTCAATTTCACCTCCTCACAGCACCATTGCGTTTTGTCAGGTCTGTTATTGAGCCTCTAATTTGATGCTGTGAGTCAACTGCCAGTAAACATGAAGACAGTGATGTTAACATTTAACAACTTATAAAATATAACAGGCTGCACAGTGCCTACCTTCTATAAAAGTCATTTGAAGATAACAAGCAGAGGACCACCAGTGGGGTCAGTCAGTACAGACTCATGCTGCGCAGTCAAACATTGCTCAAATCCACACAAGTTTATTTTAAATTCTAGCAAAGAAAGATACCAAATGTCAGGATACATTTTGGGAAACGTATCTAAAACAAGGTACAAGGCATCTAGAATATTGCCATTTGAAGCAAAGGTAGATATACTGATAGAATACTGTGTATGTGCTACTTAAGAGGAATCTTTAAATCATGTCTTTCTTAAAATAAGTGGAAAATTGTGTCTTTTTGGTGATTTATGCAGCCTTTCCCCAATGGAATTTGTTGTGAGACTTTTCTTGACATGATATCTCAAAAAGGAGGATCACTACTAAGCTAATGTCACATAAAATTATTGATTTGCATAGTTAACAACTATGCTGTTTACGCACAAGTAATATTTTAATACTCAATACTAAACTACTTTTGTGATTTAAATATGTGATTAGGTTGTTTTCTTTCTGGCTTCATTTGCATTTACAATTTTACACAGCAGAAAACAGCAGACATGCAAAATCAGTACAGCCATATGAAATTGTTATTTTGTGTAAAAAATAAATAAATAAATACATCTCTTTAGATTTCATAGAAAGAAAGAAAGAAAACATATTAGAACATAAAAACAGTGATACACATTCAGAGATCTGGGTCAAATAAAATCAAAAACACAAAATAACCTTGAAAGACTCATAATAATCCTATCAAAGTAAAAATAGTACCAGACCTCAAAATACCCATTAAAACCTTTAGCTAATATACATTCATGTGAGCCAATGACTGTCATCCACTTTAAATTACTTTTTCAAACTTTTGTATAATAATTTCTTCTCACCTTAGGGGCCCTTCAGCGGTTTCTGACTCAGACTTTGTGGACACAGGTGGTCTGACTCCCTCTGAAGTCTGTTGTAAACTTCCTAGCAGAGGGAGCTGCTGTCCCCTCACTCTGCCTGACACATGCATTTAAAAGCATCTCAGGTGCTTTTATCTTGACAAGTGTTTGCTTTGACTCACGCTCCTACTCTGGAGCCAAAATGATGTTTGGTCCTTTGGGACCAAGTAAAATCTAAGCAACTTGTTTTTATGTTGAAAAGTTAAATACATAGAATGGAAAGATATTAAGAGGCACACATTCTTTCTATTGAGTAGTGATTGCTTTTGTTACCACCAGATGACAGTATTTATCCTCTTAGGTTGTCTGGACAGTATTACCCAGACATCTATGGACTCCTAGTGGAGGGACAAGGACCAGCAGGGTCTTGCTAGGCAAAAACCTATTCACCCAACTACTTTTATGAATACTAATTAAGGTAAATCTCCTGAGCCTTTAGACAAAACATAGATAGAGTGTATTTAATTGATCTAAGATAACAAACTCCATGTTTAAAAATGCATGTTCAAGTGTGCAAATGCTGCATACAAAAGAGGGAGAAAACTTCAAATCATATCAGTAAATGTTTTTTTTAAAATACAGATTTTACTTAAAGCCTCTCAAAATGCACTGATGAACATAAAAATTCAGATTCAAAAAGATAATTTATTAAACAGCAGCAGGAATATTATTCTTGGAATATTTATCTCACACTGCAGTGAGCAGGGTAGAGTCACATGCATGATGGAAAAGGTCAATGAAATGGATTGAGTGTGGAGAAAATCATTGCACACTCTTATTTCTCTGCCAAAAGGTCTTCAGTGGCATTAATGTCCTGCTCTCTGTGATATATAATGAAAGATTGTGTGTGTGGGTGGGTGTGTGTGAGTGTGTAAGTGTGTGTGTCTGTGTGTGGGTCGTTTAGGTCTACTGAGTCTTCATTACACCAGAGCTGGGTCCACTCCTGTCCTCTGCCCTCGCTCATTGCCTCTCCCAGTGCCGGCCAGGAATAATGAATTACAGTGGATGCCATGGGGGGGCTGTGTGAGTGGCTCAGAAGTGGACTCCATTTTAGCTCAAATGACCTCTCGGATCCCATTCAAATGGCAGTCTCAGGCAGCTCTCCGCTTTTTCTATGTATCCCTGTTTGGGGTGAAATTATCACACCCTTTCTTCATTTACTCATTTCTATTTTTTTTTGGAGGGGGGGGTCATTCCTCCGGTGCTTTGGGTTAAATCACAGGGAAATCAAAGAGATGTAAGCAAAACATCCACATAAAAACACAGGGAATAGACTAGCAACATATTTAACAGTGTAAACAACAGTTCATGTCACAGTGGGATTTATCAGTTCAGTCAGCGTGCTCAGCCTTGTGTGCCATTCCCGTTGATTCCTCTTCTTCCTCCGCAGGACAATAATAAAAATGACAACATAAACCTCAGGTGATGGCACATTATGCATGCCATCCAAACAAATCCTTCCCAGTGTAAATTAAACACACCCAGTGCATCTCACAGCCCAGATCAGACTCTGTAAATCAAGCAGGGTAATAATAATAACTAAGGTAATGGAATAGATCAAGGCAAGCATTTCCATTGCATGATCTATCCTGAGAGGCAAAACCAACAACAAAATTCAGCATTTGGTGGAAACTCATTGATAGAAGGCTAAATATTTACACCACAGGTCAATATCCATGCTCATCCCTTAGTTTACTATAAATAATAAAAAATAATTAAATATGAGGGGGTTCTTTGGCTATCTGGATTAAACATATTTACTCACTGATTTTAAGATTATGAGATTAAGAATATGTGAAACACATATTCTTAAAAATATCACATTTGAAAGTCATTCAGACTATGTATCCAAAAAAATCAAAAGCACAAACGGGTTGTGTAACAGACATCACACAAACCTACACCAAATGTAAAACTGATCCGCTCATGGACACACATAAAGAAAGATGTCCTATATGTCACCTACAGTGTCAAAGACTGGAGGAGTTTTTTTTTTGCATAATCAAAATCATGCTTGCAGCCCTGTTCAGGGTGCACTAAAGGCCGATGTTTGTCATGTTTTAATTAGTCTTCATTAGTAGGCGTAAGAGGCATTTCTGGGAAGCAACAGGCATGCGGCCTATTCATCTCGCTGCTGAGAGATGCACAAAGTTGGCAGGCTAAATCCATCTGGGAAAGTTATTGCGCCTGAAATGGCCTTTGACAGCCCGCCCCCTGATAAGTGACAAATTCACAACATATCTGCGACTGGGGGGTAAAAACAACTCAGGTGCACACGGGGTGAAAGGGACTCCATCGCACATGGCGCTTTCAGGGGAGTCCAGCACTATTTTGGCGAGTTAAACGGCGCAGGGCGCGATGCCACACAGGGAGAAGGGTCGAATAACCGCTTATGACTGACCTCCTTCCACTATAATTAAAGTTGCAAGCTGGAGCCAGAGACATAACAGAAATTGTTTCTCCCATTTAGAATGAAACGTAAATAAACGGGAGAAACAACTTGATGGCATGCTGGATTTTTCTTTGGAGCACTTTCAGTAAAAGGTGTAACTTTTAAAACTCCGAGCTGCATCACATCTGGCCTGTTGGGTTGACATGTGTAACTGTCCGGATAGTAAAAAAATAAATAAAATAAATCCACTAAGAAATTCTACAGTTTGAATTTACTTTAGGAGTTGATTAAATTGAAGATGAAAACTACTGGGGAAATACAGGCCTGTCATGCCTCTAGTTTAACATGTTTTGTGTTGTTTTATAGGGGGGGAATGCACCTTGCAGAGATGTAATGGTTGCAAACTTATATACATGAAGACTTCAATCTAAGAAATCAATCTAAAGCATAAAATATCATAATTTTTTGCCTGGCGATGAATATTTCACTGCCCTGCCTGCATGCTTAATGAGTTTATTCTGCATCAAGTGCTTTCCACCTGTCCCTCTCCCACTTGTTCCTCCCTCCTAATAAACGCCTGCAGAAGCTCGAGACAGGTGCACGAGGAATTTGGACGATCCAAACCCCGTAAAACACCCTGGGTGCACATGAGCATCAAGGACCAAAAACTTTTGGGGCCACCGAGCTCAGTAAGTGAGTGTAGGTCACTGAATTTCAGGGAGACTGCGGCGCACCGCTGCTGCTGTGGTGCACCTTTTACTTTACATGGGCTTTTCTTTTATACGTAGACTTAGGACGTCGCTCTCAACTCCCCCACTCCTCCCTATGTTGCGTGGTAGCCTATTTGTTCTGTATGACTGAGAATGTAAACCCATTAACCTTACCGGAATAGCCACCACGTGCAGGTCATTCTTTGCTGTCACAAGTGAAGACGTTCCGTCACCTGAAAAATACAGCTGGAAAACTACAGTAGGCCTGTATGTGAAGAATACTGTGGGCCTGACACCAGTTGGTTACCACGCAGATAACACTTTATCTAGGCTACCTGATGCATATGGAGGGGGGACTGGGGCTTAAATAATCTTTTGTGAGGAAATTCTTCAGAAAACAAAACGAAAATATGACTTTTAAGACTATCATTTTGACATTAAAATAATAGTGAAACACTAGTTTTAAAGTTATAGAGTTCAGAGGGGAAACCTGCCCCTAAGAGTGGTTAACCATCTTTGTGCGTTTTAATGTGAGTCTTCTTCCTTTTAACCCTGTATTCACTTTGTTATTGGATCTTACAGTGACAATTTAGGATGGGCCGGTAAAAAAAAAAGCTCATTTCTCATTTGCCTTTAAATATTTTTCAAAATAAAAGGAAAACAATGACAGTGAATTTCAATTTAAAGCAATTTACTTTTGGCAAGAATTTCCTAACGTGTTGAATTACTGTGTCGGGAGCGCTGCCATGTTGTTTTATTATCACTCCCCTTGTTTTTTGTGTTAGGTTTACTATTGTTACTTTAATTTGTTTTGGGTAGGGTATGTCTTTTTGGTTTTATTTTTCGATTTAAGCTTCCTGAGTTGGCAAAAAAACACTGAGACACTGAACACACATATTCCTCATATTCTTCATCTAGCTTTTGTCTCATGGAGACAAGCATGGACTCATAATAAGCCTATTTAGGATTTTATTTAGTTCACCAATCACTCACTTTGTTAATCTACTATGTGACCAGAAATAACTACAAAATTGACTAAACCCGCCACAGTATAGGGCTAAATTATAATTTTTATATTGCTTACGTGTCCTACCACTCTGCAACACACCTCAATTAACCACAGCTATAGAACCTTTTCTTTACCCTTTAGTTTTACGTCTTGAAACTTTTTCAATGCCCCCCTCAGATAGGATGTAAATCGAGACAGGAGTGCTTCTGCTTTGTCTGTTAGAAAACTCACTTTTCTGACTTTTCAAGAAATAGGCTATATCCTCCTGTAAAATGTAAATAAAAGCCACTGCACGTTATTCTCATATCAGTGAAGCATTGGAGAGTTTGCTGATAGGAAGTCAGCTGCATTCAATTAGCCTTCATCTAATTTAGCTGAGGCCTTAATTGCGCTCAGGGTGGTGCAGTTGTTTGTGCTAAGCTCTGTTTGAGACTTCTGTGGAGAAATACGAGCCGCTCCTTAAGAACAATCCCAATTCAAATGAGACTTATCTTCGCCAGAGCGATCAGACGGATTAAGAGTTATTAAAACCGATAAAGGGCTGAAACCAGAAGATTCAGCAGTCCCAAAGTCCGCTGCGTGGCGACTCCAGAGGATTTCTCTGTAAACACATTCCCACCATGGAAACATTTATATAGACATCATCTACATACAGAGATGTATGATGAATAAATAGTGGAGTAAAGGATGATATCTGGAGGGCGATTCGCCAACAGAAACAGAAAAATAAATGGATTACACCAGACTTTGAGAAGCACCATCTCACTACATGTTTTCCCTTAAATAAAAATCCAAATTCAAGTTTTATATCAAGTTATGACTTTTACAAGAATAACAAGTAGTTTAGGAGTTAAACTAAATTAGCTTTACATATAACAGTATTTCAGCAAGATTTGACCAGTAAAGTGAAGCAATAGTAGCCTACTAAACAGGCAGTGGCTCGTTATTAAACGATGAAACTGCAAAAATAACTATATCTTGAAGTAAGACATTTTTTAAAAAATATGATCAAATAATTGCATTGGTTTCTAATCCAAATCTACTTTCCCCCCACATTATCTCCATGTGATCTGCCCATTTCTCCCATATGCAACACACAAAACTTAGCCTACTGAATAATCTTGGAAAACAATGGGCCATTGGAAACAGGTGGAACTCCCTCATCAAATTATAAAATTTTATTTGAGATAGATTTTATTTTTAAATTGGTTGACTTTTTGCAGTGTGGACTATAGGCCTACAGCAATTAGGCCCGCTCCTAATCTTTTCTAATTCGGCTGCCATGCTCTTGGCTGACCCGGGATGGGAAACAAAGGGCAGCGAGCTTCCAGGCCCACAAAAGCGCAACAAAAAAATCATATAGGATCATCAAATAGGAGAGACGTGCTTTCAGGTTTTGAAAGGCACAGGAAGCTGGAGGATTTGGTCCGACCCCTGCATGGTGACAGAACTGATATCTTAGAGACCCCCATTCATCTGGAGGGAGGGATGGTAACCGGGAGAGAGAGGGGAGGGGTGCTGGGGTAGGGGTGGGGTGTGAGGGGGCTCACAGTTTGCATCTGCAGAGGTCCCACCGCCCTCTGATCTGTGAGCTGGCACACATCACGGCGTCCATTCACAAATCCTCCTTCTGCGCGTCACCTTTTGTAGTACTCCATAGTACTGAGCGCTGGTGACGTGTAAGACAATCCTACCAAGCAAAATACAGAGAGGAAAAATAGGTTATAGGAACTCAAGGACAGGGCACATGCGCACAATGCATACGATTTCTTATAGTAGTAGGAGGGGATGTGTATATGTGTGTGTGGGGGGGGGGGGGGGGGCGACGACTAGGCCTATAGGCTAAGTGAATATGAAATAGACTCAGTTGCTGGATTTATAGACTGCATAAAAACAAAATCAGATGTTCAAACTGTTCGCGACTATATTTTTTCTCCAAAAATAGGGAATATGAAACCCTTCGTGCAAAGCTGAGGAGATCCCCAAGTTTTTTTTAAACAAATAATGGAAAAGACAGAAGATTACTAAAGCACGGATTTAGTAGACCCTGACAGACATGACGTGCTATAATCAATATTTCCTACTTTACAATATACAATATATTCATGGAAAATAATAATTTCATCCATTTAACCATAAGGCAGCACTCTCAATCAAGAATAGTTTTTAAAAAATAACAGGCAACATCAATGATAAAGTGATCACATGTTGGCAAACAATAGTCACAAGATTTTTCCAAAAAGTCATATAATCGATTAGTGCTTTGGCGCGGGCCTGCTGGACGTTATGTGGCAGACTGCTGTGGAGCAAATCCTAACAAATATCGCTTGAATATGAAAAATGTTGAATATGAATTTGTGTTCAACACGTGAAAGGGTGGCAGACCTGGCTTCGATTTATACATCAGACTCGGAAATCCCTCAGAAATTGGCTGTGCAGTCGCCTTTTCAGGAATATCTATCTCTAACTGCAACATTGTTATATGTTTATCACAATGTGAAACACAGCACATGCACAGGTTTTAATGTCCCCTTAAAATAAAAACTACACATGCACATAACACAAGACACTTAGACATGCGTGATAAGCACGTGCATGCATGTAATAACGCCAGTATTATAGACTGAGTTTTTGATCATGTTACAAGAAAGAAAAATACATTTATACTGTGGATTCATGTATCCATTTCACTGCGTCTGGACAGTCCAGACCAAGATACAGATAAAAAAAACCCACTATGTTCAAGGGTGAGCTACCATCAAAAAAGCTTCCTTTTATAATTGCATTTCCTCTTGTATTAATCAAAATTTAATAAACAACAAAGATCCTACAGACTGAATATGGAGGGGCTTCACTATATAAACCAAAGTAATAGCCGATAAGAAACAAGACAATAAAACTACAAAGCAAGCATGGCACCAAAAACATACAAATGAGTCGATTAATGACTGACTTTACTCGGAAATAAAAAGACAAAAATTCCATGTTATGCAAATCAATTGAATACTACAGCACTATTTTAACCCTTAACCAACCAGCACAAATTGTCCTAGAATGTATTTTCATTCACAAGCAGAAAAGTAAACCAGAAAGTCTGACTTACATGACAAACAACAGAAATCCTTTGTAAGTAAAGACAGTGATGATAATAATGATACCCCGACTGATTATCTACTAAAACAAGACACATTTTTTCTTAGCCAGCATAGACCAAAACAAGCCAGTTAAAACTGAACAGACAGCAGTGAACCAAAACGCCACAATAGTGGGATTATGTACTTGTAAAGTATAGGCCTACACTGCAAAAAAATACACATTTAGTAGAGTTGTGAGTATTAAAAGCCCGTTTTGCCTGCCAAAAACTGCAGCAGAGTGAGATGACTCCTGCCCACATGGTGTTTCACCTATTTCGAGAAATTTCTGTGCGTAAAAATCATTACTCTCGACCCGCTGCCATCAATCCAGTCTCAATTTGTTTTGTCTTAAAACGCGCTTCAAAATGGAAACAAGTGAAGTGCCACATATGTCACTTTTGAAAGAAAACCAAGTCTCTATGGCTTACAATCAGACTGTTTGGCGTGTAAATATGTGTATTTTTTTGCAGTGCACACACGCTCTGATTATAATTCAGAGCCTGAAATGGTGTCATTTCCTTCAGACATCCCTGTTTTGCTGTGAGGTTAGAGGCCAAGCCCAGGCGGTAGCGGCCTGTCTGTGCCTCCATTGTCTGCCGCTTATTTAGCGCTCAACATTAATCTGCGCTTCCCATCACAAGTGAGAAACAATCGCAGCATGAGAGTGGCCTGTCTAATTACATCTTTCACTCCGAACTTTCACTTCAGTCGCCGACGTGAGGACTTGGATTTGGCCCTTTTGTGATGGGGACCTGTGAGATAGGAGCATGAGGGTGTTGAGGTAGATTTTGAGATAAGATTTTTGTTGTTGTTGTTTGTTGTTGCAATGCAGCAATACCAGAAAATGAGAATTCACTTTTAATTGAAAAAGGCTATTGAAAGATCATCTTAAAGCAAGGGATGTGGTGTTTTGTGAATCTGTGTGCATGACATGTCAATAGGCGTTTGAACGCAAACCCCAGATTAACCCCAAACAAATATTTTCGGTAATAAGACTTCACTATAATTGCTTTGCAGTTTGCACAAAGCCTGTATTTAACAAGTGGAAAGTCAAGGATAGGATGTTTTCCACCTGGCTTAGACTCAAGCTTAAATTACAGGGCTTAACATGTCACAGATACAAATTAAAACAACAATGTTGTGCAGCAGGTTATTGTTGCATCCAAAAAAGAACCTATTTTAATCACCACAGCTCACATACATGTGAATAATCAATCATATCATAACGACTGACCGGCCTGTGAGGCACAAATAATCACACTATTCAACAAAGTATAGGTCTTGTGTTCATTTTAGAAATTTGGAAGTTACTCGCACTCCCAAAAAAAACTAGAGGAACAGACAATGCCTGCTTGTAATAATGAAAACAAAGCAGCTGACTGACTTTCTAAGTGAATTGTTCAAAGGCTCCTCACTCAGTCTCAGTCCTGCTGCTCCTCTGCTCCTCCTCGATGCCCTTTTATTTTACGCGCAGCCCTCGGCTCAAACGCCAGAGAGCCGGCCGAGCAGTCCCTCAAGCCCGGTGCCGTCCTGGAAGGAGAAGTACAAACTTAGTGGTGGTCAGCAAAGTTACTGAAAGTTTTGTCTTTGGCGCGACTCGGTACCCTGAGCACCGTGCACAAAACAGTTTGTTTGCATCACTGATTTCTTTTAAAGGGATATGGACCCAGTTCTTGGTCCACCGCAGCGTCACGACAGGCGAACATGAGAACATCAAAAATACTTAACACACATCTCTGCCCGTTTGGGGTCAGACAGGGAAGTCTCTTTGCCTGTCACGTTTCAGTTTTGATGCACGTTCTTGCCAGTTTTGAGGCAACAGGAAGCAATATGTCACATTGGACCATTCAGAAAAACAGAGTGGTTAATTTCCAAGCTGGACCCACAATGTGCCATATGGGTTAAAAAGAGTTTAAATGTTTTGAGATGTTATTCAATTTTCAAGAAAATACCGTTACTCCACCCTCGGATCAAAATGTGAGCATATAGACATGCAGCAATTCAGTTCCTCGCATTTAACCTTGGCCAGGACAAACTGACTTTAAGTTACTCTGACTCCAACTGACCGTACAGGTGTTAGAATTACCTTCAATGCAGACATATTGTGAGCTATGTTCAACAGATAATAAGTGTTTTCAGTGTTGTCTAAAAGGGTATTTACAGATATTATTTCAACACATGTTGCCTCATAGATTTTCATGTCACGGATCCCCAAATACACCCACAATAGGCCTTTTTTGTTAGGGCTGTGTCTCATTTGCTTACATTTGAGCAGATATTTAGTTGTTATTGTTTTTCATTTAAACTGAATTGGACTGATACTATCCAAAAGTGTCGAGAATGGAGCTTTTACTCCTCAGATATGTTATAGCACATTAATATGAAGTAAAAACGTACTATTCGTCATTTTTTTGGGAATCCCTGCCTGCCCTGCAAGCAAGGAACCCCGGGGGTCCCCACAACCCACTTTTGACAGCCGATGCTTCAACCTCCCATTGTTTTAATGAACACAAACAATGTAATGTGCATCATGTTGTCCTTTGAAACCTGAATACCCCCCCACCAAAAAAAATGAAGTTACAGGTTCATAAACACAGATGAATTATTGGGAGTATCTAGGAGCATGCACTGGATTTAAATTAGGCTTCTCCTCCATCAGTCCAGGACTCTTTCCCTTTACTAAGGCGAGGATGGGCGTTTGTGGACTGCTCCGGAGTCTGCATCACGTGGCCTGGTTTCTGCCATCCTATTGGTCCAAGGCACGTGTCTGGGAGGACGGTGGGAAAACGTCACTCGGGGGGCTCGTATTGAAAATAAGAACAAAACTCCAGAGTGAGAGTATTAGAGCATCAGTTTAGGAGGCTCTTTATTTACCCTTAGTTTAGTTTAGGCGTAGGCATTACTGAGCACACTGAAATCGGATAACAATAAATTGGATGGTGCGCAAATGGCACGTTTTAGCTCTACGATATCAGTTGTAACCCAAGATTGAGGGAATATATATCAAAAAGTATGCTTTTCTCAGAGGACACTATCGCAAGGCTTTGCATGGTGTCCAAGGCACTCACTAGAATCTGAGTTTTATTTTTTTATTTATTTTACGCGTGCAGTTTTTTTTTTAAATTTAATTCCCCATAAGTTCTGAATTTCATTGCAGCAGAGAGAGCGATAAAGGGGTTAAAGAGAGTAAAGCGGGGAAAGTGAATCAGTATGGAAGAAAATGATCACGGCAACAGAGACGTGGTGGAGCGGCAGGAGTCGGGGGATGAATCAAACAGAGCCATCCTCCCTCTCTTACAGGCGCCGGGAAACCTTCAGATCCCTCACCGGGTCACCAATTTCTTCATCGACAACATCTTGCGGCCGGATTTCGGCCGGAAAAAGGACGGGGGCGCAAACCGCGAAGAGAGTAGCCTCGCGTCGCGGGAGAGCCACAACAGCCCTGCCGCCCCTCAGAGCGAGCCGGTGGGAAGCACGGTGCCGGCGGAGGGGACCTCCACCCCGCACACGGTTACGGGGACCAAGAAGCCCACTATAGCCGCCGATGAGCCCCTGAAATCCCGCGGGGAGAACGGAGACCAGTGCCTAAGCTCAGACTCAGACAGTTCCCAAGCCAGCTCAAACCCAGCCCAGAGTCAGCCCATGCTGTGGCCAGCCTGGGTGTACTGCACCAGATACTCGGACAGGCCTTCTTCAGGTTGGTGGCACCGTGCATGCGTTTTACTCTACCGTATTCTCGGTAACCTGAAATACCCCGTAACACTGACCCCGGATGCCTTGACCGACTTCTCCCGAGTAGAGAAGCCTACAGCGAACTGCCCTGTGTAGCAAACTGAGAATTTACTAAATATAAATCCACATAGATTTTTTTGAAATATTATTTAACGCTAAACGCAAATCCCGCGGTAAAATACATAGACAACACGTGCAATGTAGAAAAAAAGATTAAAACATTAAAATGAAATAAAAATATGGCTTTTCGGTGAGAGGAGGCCCATTTTAAAACGCAAACGACGAAGAAAAAATATTGTTTTTAACAGTAAATCTTGTCATAAATCTTTCTATTTTAACAACTCACCAAAATACATTTAACACATAAAAACGGCCATTTTTTGAGCTTTTACGCACAGTTTCTTTCTTGACTAAAATGTTCCAGTTTAGGCAGTCCTCTTGCAAATTTCCTCGGGTTATGAATATGATAATACTGGGGTCCTACATGTACTAAACAGAAGCGCGCTGACAGGCTGCATGTCCTCCAGAGCAGCAGGTCTGCAAAATAATATTTGGTGCTCTTGTCAAAGCTGCTTTGGTCCTTAGAAGCGATAGGCAAGTTGTGTTTGGGATGAATTAAATATGTTTTCACAATTAACGCTCCCTCAGCTCGTGTGTATGCTGGCCAACAGTGACTTTTTTGGTATTATTATTTCTTATCTTTATTTAAAAGAAAACACAGGCTACAACTTATCTGCCTGCTGTGAGGTTAGTATGTGTATTTGTCATCCATCAAAAGTGGTACAACTTATTCTCATGCGTTATGTAACGCTGTATGGAGTGGCGTAGGCGACTACTACGAGTTGTAGAGTTTCAGTTTTTATATAGGCACGCACACACACACACGCACGCTGATTCATCAGGTTCGGCCTGTATTATGTCGTTTCATTAATGTTTTCCACTGTTTGGAGGTGGGAACCAAGCATTTAGTCCAATTCACCACCAAACAGGCCTCTATCCAAATGGAAAATGTGTAGCCTATCTAATGTGTGTTGCTCAAATTCTATTCACGTTTTCCCACTGAGGAGCTTTTCAAGTGACCCACAAAAACTAAAAGGCAAAGTAGCTGCTCTGAAATGAGTCTGAGTCCGAACTGTAATTCAGCTCACCTGCAAAACAGTGGCTCCGATGTCCCATTGATGTTTTTCCACTGTTGTCCTCTTGGTTAATAATTCCTTATTACTACAGACAGAGTCGGTGTGTGTGCACGCGCTAGTGTGTTTGTGTGCTAGAGAGGAAGAGGGATAGAAACGGGGAGGGAGGGGAGATTTTGCTGCTTGGTTGTTTTCTTCAGTGGACGTGTCAACATTTTACAATCAACCCTCCTCGTTTTATTAAAGCTTGCCAAAAGTGCTTTAGGGAATCAAAAGAACTTATTTTTGTGATTTGTTGTATGCTAAAAAGCTTCTAAAGACACAGTAGCCTAATGACAACAGAGACATTTATAGCCATTTGTTTACCTATTTCTCTATTTCTCTATTTTGAAGTTTACAAATCTACATATAGGCAAATACTTTCCTTACGCACCTTGATAAATGTCTAGGCTCACTCCTAAATGTAAAGTAGCCTAGTAGAATATTATACTAGTTATTGGTGGGTTTAATTTAAAAACTAACATATTGTTTCATTAATGAAATTGCTTAGAACGCAGTTTGCCGGATTATCGTCCATGTAAAAGTGTAGGCCTACCCATCTGTGTGAAAAGTTTGTTTTGATGCTAATAAACCACTGTTTGTGTCTGTGACCCCCCCCCCCCCCCCATATCACCCACACTACAGGGCCAAGATCTCGCAAACCAAAGAAGAAATCGACCAGCAAAGAGGACAAGCGACCACGGACGGCCTTCACAGCAGAACAGCTGCAAAGACTAAAATCGGAGTTTCAGACAAATCGGTATCTGACCGAGCAGAGGCGGCAGAACCTGGCGCAGGAGCTGGGCCTGAACGAGTCCCAGATCAAGATCTGGTTTCAGAACAAGAGGGCCAAAATCAAGAAGGCCACCGGCGCTAAAAACAGTCTGGCCCTGCACCTGATGGCACAGGGACTATACAATCACGCCACCATCTCGTCGAAAGACGAAAAATCAGACAGCGATTGATTTCCAGAGAAGTCACAGAAACCTCCTAACGAAAAAGAACCTATAGTAATCCTATGATAGATTTTTATAGAGATATCACAAAACTCTACCTACAGGAATATTTAATGATACCACAGCAGATACAAATACCACAAAGTTCTATTACTATCACTATACTCGATGCTGAACCACTACAGATAGGCTATACCAAGGGTCCAGGACACCACAGGACATACAAAAAAATTCTACACTAAGGCTAATCGACTGCTAAGAGTCCCTACAGGAATATTTAATGTCACCATAGGTCTCTATATGTTCCTATAGGAATATTATAGTGATTTTTCGATATGGGAGGTTTTGCCAAGCCTACAATGCAATAATTTCATCGAATAAAGGGCCAGTGTGCAGAGTATACCAGCATAAATTGTTTAAAAAAAATAGAGAGATATTTCTGCAATATCACGTCTATAAAAGATGTTGTAAAAAGGTATGTTTTCAACGTTTGTCGTCCCCGCCCCCCCACCCCCCAGAGGAGGTACAAATGCTTACACCCTTCATTTTTATATAGGCCTACTGCTACCCATGATTGTCATCATTTTACATTTAAACTAACTGGCACTTGACGTTTCGATCTGTCAGTGAAGTGAACTGAAGTCCAAAGAATATTTTTCTGCTGCATCCAGGCTACTGTGAATTTAAATAAATGCTAACACGATTTTATTTCCATGCTTGTTGGTTTCCTTGGTTGTGTTTGATGTAAAATGGAAAGAGGAAGGTGTTTTTGAGTGTCAGCTGCAGACCTAATTGGGCAGACAATGAATTTTGATACGTTTTTTAAAAAATAAATAAATTCACAGTTAACAGTTTATTATGACTGAGAGAGGTAGCGATTTTTTTTCTAACACGCCACTTAACTAAGATGCTAAGTTAGGCTTTGCTTATATGTATGTGGTCGTCTCATAGCCTTTAAACAACTATTATGTGCGTATTCCCTTCTTTATACCAATGCATCAGTGCAGCTATTATAGTTTTTAAATAGCAATATAAATCATTTTTTGTAGCTAAATGAATTGAAGGCTATGATGCTGCCTATAAAGTCACATAAACAACTCTGTTGCATAAAGACAATGATGACAACCATTTTGCGCTCTCTTTGAGTATAGCCTATACATGCAGGTTATTGGATGTTCTTGTTAAATCTTTCTCTATATACAGTTTTATTACATATCCATATATCATAAAAGAAGGCAAATCCGTCAGTGACTGTATTACAAATGTTGGAAATCTGTTATCGTTGTTGAAAGGACTTCATATGTGTATTTATATAGATTATATTGAGAAAAAAATCTATCCAATGACCAGTGTTGCTTTAGAGTAGATATCTGAGGTGTTTACACTGCTTGTTTATCTTGCAATAACTTCTTTTTGTTTTCTTTCTTTGTGAATGAAAAATAGTTTATGGGGCCTTTGCATGAAAGCTGCAATTTGTTGTACTTGGGCAAATAACTGTGTTTATACACTTTGGTCTTTATCGACAGAAGTATGACCGAGCATAAGTTTTAGACTGTATCCATACCAAATTGTGGACTTTTTGCCTTTCAAAGTGTTTTGTTGTTTTGTTGCAAAAAGTGTGTGTGAATTGAAATCCACCAAACAGAAACACACTTTGCCTTAAAAGTTCAAGTGTGAACTTTTTATGAAACAGAACTGTGCCGAATCAGAGAAGCAGTATTACTTCAAATGCAGACTATTCAAGTTGAATGCCTTTATGAAAACTGCTGGTACGACATTATGAATTTACTCATCAGCGTATATCTATCTATATATGAACATGTTTAAATAAAATTACAACACAGAGTTGTAGAATACAATGCTATTTTTTATTTTATGTTGGAAGTATTCTTTGGTATAAATGTACATAATTTGTATCATGTATTAATTGTGTAATTAACTGCCTCCTGAAAACTGCAAAAGAAGAGCAAATAAACCTTGAAGATTATACACAAACAAGTTTCTAGCATCTCCATGTGAAGCAAAGAATTCATATATTTCCATAAAAACACACAAAAAATAACTGAGGCGTGACTGAAGCAGCAAATGTGACCTTCAATCAATGCTGAGCTTCTACAGGCATTAAAATGTAGAATAAACAAATGCATTACTAGCTTAAATTGTCTAGAACAGAGAAACACATACAATACTAGTTTTAAATAAATGTTGCCAGGTGTCAAATATTCACAAATGTTATCACAAACATTATTCATTTGCATAGCATGACAATCCTTTCCATGCAAACACCCACTCATTCTATGGGCGGTTCAGTATCACATTCATGGAGGATCAAATTCATGGGGTTTGAGATTAAAACATTTGCAAAAGCATCCAAACATTATGCAAGGGAAAGCCTTGAACAATTCCCAGGCATGTTTCCTCAACAATGCCTTATCTGCATTTCCATACTTGCACCGCTAGTCTTTGAACGCCATGTCTAACGGCCAGTGACTAGCATTAGAGCAGATAGGGCTGCTCCCAGCACTGTCTCCACGACGGTCAGTCTTCCTCGCCGCCTCTGAAAAGAGCCTGTGCTTCTATCACAAGGCAGAAATGGGAGTCGAAACGAGAGGGAGAGAGAGAGAGGGAAGGAGGGAGGAAGGGGGTGAGAGAAAGAGAGAGAGAGAGCAATGAAGGTCAAAGCCTGTCATGGCTGCAGGTGGCTGGTTTCCCTCCTCCCGCCCCTCAGTAACCCATTCTCCACACACAGCTTTCTCACTCACTACTCATACTCCCTTTCTCCCTCACACACACACACGCACACAAACACACACACACACACACACACACACAAATGCACACCCCTACCTTGCTATCACTTGGTTTTTATTTTATTCTTGCCTGGCACATACACACACATCCCCACACGCTTCATTCATTTCTGTTCCTCCTCACATGCGCACATACCCCTGTTGTTTTGGTCCTTCATTCAGCGCATCAATAGGAACCTTCATCAAAATTTTCACAGGCAGGGAAGCTCCCTGAAGTTCAGATAGGGACACCAATGCATGAACAATAGCAGAAGCTGTAAGGCCGCATGGGCACATTCTCCTGGAACAAAAGCTTTTATCTGAGAATAATTTGTCTCATCTCAAGAAGTGAGATTCTGATGGTCAAGTGGCCAGAAGTGGTCCTTGTTTGGGCCTCTACCTGCTTTACCCAATAGAAAAGTGTTGCATTGCTGTGAAAACACAATATATGACAGTATGAAGCATCAGTAATCTGGGTAACATCTCTTCTAGAACAGGATACAGAAATTGTGAAATGCCTGGAAGAAAATTGACCTTCTGGAGTATACTGCTGACAATTTCAGAAAGTTCTCTGTAAAGATGGAAGTGAGCACAAGATATATCAGGAAAGTATCAATGTCTACCTCTAAACACAAAAGGGCCCCATCCTGCTATGACCTCTCCTACCATCCTCCCCCTCCCCTACTGTGTCATTTACCCACAGTTTCTAAATGCTTCCTACGGCCAGAGTGGAATCTGCTCAGAGGTGCCTGGGCTTTGTGGCGGAAACATAATTAAAGTGGTGAAAGATGTAAAAGGTGAAGAATGGGGATGACATCAGGCCAATTTCACACTTGGCACTCGAATGGATAGGTCCAAGCCAGGACTCTTGCCTCGCAACACAGATCAAAGCCCACTGTCACCGCACCAGTGCAGGGAAAAAAGAGGCAAAAGGACACCTAACTATGCTAATCCCCAGGACGAATATATTTTAATCTTGTTAGAATACAAGTTAATGCCGTGGCTCAGTGACTGAACTTTTCGGCAAGAATGAGAGGTGGACAGAATTACTTTTACCTTTTTTCACATGAGGTGCCTCTGTCTGGCACCGGATAAACAGCCGGCGTCTGAACAAACTTTCTTTTGGGCAAACTCAGCATATTATCAAGCCACATACTGTACAGGATGCAGATAACAGTCGCAAGCCACTGAAAAGGCAAGCAACAGTTTTCATTAAGAACAACGAGGGGCAAAAAAGAACCCCAACCCCAGTGTCAGTGACCCCGTCTGAATCCCCACTAGGGCAACTAACATGCAAAGGAAATGAGTATTTTGTGGACTGGTTTGTCCCCTCTCACATTGAGCCCTCCCTTCTCAAAAGCACCTTGGTAACCCTTGATCTCTCATGTATGGAAGTCAGGGCGCTGGGGCCTGCAGAAGTTGACTAGGCAGACAATAGCAAGCGGATGCTTTCTGGAGAAGTCACACCCAGGCAACTCTCATTTCACACACCGTGTTTGAGCGACCCTTGAAAACAGATGCAAGACTTTTCAATAAAGATTCTTTTTGTTCACTTGATGAAATTCAGGGGGGGGGAAACAAATCTCCATGTACTTTTCCCCATGCAGCTACCATATCTGGTTTCATGAGTGCATGTTTCCTGCTTAGGGGCAGGAATTAATACATGAAATTGTTTATAATGTGACTGAACCATGGATGTGTCACAAAAAGATTACTTAGCGGAGAGAACACTATAGGAAATATTTTAGTTGAGAACATCAAAGAGTTAATATTTATTCATTATAATTATGCTCGAGTTACATTTCAGATGATGACGCAGGTTGCAATTGTTTCAGCTCAATCATGATTTTGGGCACTACATTTGATATGACATTGACCACGGTGTTGGTAAAATTGCATGCTGTTACAGTGGAGACTCTGAGACAGCCAACTTTATTTTATATTTGTTGTTTTTAGCAAATGCAAGCAGATATTTCTCACTGAACAAAAGGTTAATTTCAACCCATGAAAAGTCAACAGGTTTTGTTTATTTTTTAACTTTATGTTTGGCTTAACAAACAAGCGCTGCAACTTATGATTATTTTCATTAGTCGATTAATCAAAAATACCGAAAACTGCCCTTCACAATTTTTCAGAGCACAAGGCCACATTTTCAAATTACTTGTTGTGTCCAACCAACAGTCAAAACCCCAAATATATTTCATTTATGATGACATGAAACAGAGACATGCAGCAAATCCTCACAGTTTTGAAGGCGGAACCAGTAAAGCATTTTGGCATTTTTGCATGATAAATGACTTAAACTTAGCAATTATCAGAATAGAATTCTAGAATTTAGAATTTTCTGTTGACCGACTAACCAATTAATCAACTAATTGTTTCAGCAATAAATGTAATGATAATACAATATGACTATAGTTTGTGTAAAATGAATCACACTGTATGTTCTTTCCTATATAGTGTTAATAACAAGGCAAATCAAAAATGAGAGGAATAATGTGTGAATAAAACTGATATTGCAATACACAATTTCTTCAAAACAATTCTTAATGATTTGGATTGGAAGTTTTACTAGGCACTGATTAGCCATTTATTTTAACAAGCAATACCCAGGCATGGATACAATTTAAATATTTTAATACCTAGGGTTGACATGCTGTTTGGCCATGTATCATGTACAGTAAATATCCTACTTAAGGTTTTGCAGGTAATAAAGTTTTCCTGCTCCCTGAAACTCCCTGAAAGCATTCTAACTTAAAATATAAGCCCAATTTCAGCTAAAAAGGGTACGCAACAAAACAAAACCTTCATAATAAACTCCAGAGATAATACCTTCTCTTCTTTTTCAAAGTCTAACCTGGCTTTGGGTGTTTAATACTGTTTCTGTATTGCACTGAAGTAAATAATATTGAATATGTGCCAAAATCAGTACCAAGTTTAAGTTTCTTAAAAATATCACAAAACCTAGAGCAGAACATTCAGCACTCTGGCGGAAATACAAATGCACACAACAGTACCAAAGGTATCACTTGTTATGCTGCATTATAATTTCATAATTCATACGTTTTGGGAGTTTATGCAATGCAAACCAGACCTCTTGAACAGAAACAGGCTGTTTTTCTTACATTCTTCTTCTTCTTACTCTTACTAAATTAAGATGTACAATGTACAGTCATGCCATTTCTGGCCTTTGTTTCTGAGTTTGTGTTGCTTGCTGACACAGCTAGACAGGGTCAAGGATACATCTGACTCACCTCAGGCCCCCTGCTCTCCCCGGGGACTGGCCTGTCACTCACTTTGTGGTTACGCATCATAGCTGACAGAGGCACAAAGTGAGAGCTCGATGCTGCATCAATAGCAGCAACATCATCACCAAAACCCATCCTTAGCATGACATCTTCCTCCTAGTCCACCACCAGCTCTCTACACTGTGGAGGGAAGGAAAAAACATATTCACACCAAGAGCCAATAATAAAATGTCATTCAGTGTGAGTAGGAAGACCTAAAAATAGAAGATATGGACACTTACCTCAAAATTCTCCACACTGCAGTTTGGATGTGGAATGCCTTACAATATAGTTGTTATGAAGTGGCAGCCAGACCTGCAAAGGTTTGAAATGATTGAGTGCAATACTTAATTTCAGATGGTTTATTGAGACTGGATTCACACATCTACGCTCGGTGATCCATTTTCAATGGCTCTCTAGCTCACTAAAACAGTGCTAGGTTGGTGTAGTGTATATCCTTTAATTGGTGTTAGTTAGATGACATAACAAGAACATGCGTACAGCTGTTTGACTAGGAGCAAAGGGTTTCAATGATCACTGATCACAGCACTTTGTTCTTTCTACATTAAATTAATATAGCCACTGAAATACTGTACTGCACCACTACAGAATACAAATGATTCTGTGGCCAATGCTGACAACTCAAACTAAGATTTATTAAAACACATTCACAGTATATGAATAATATAGCTTGTTTTTACATCTTAGATGCTACAGAGCAGAAAATTCTGTAAAAATCAGCAAGTGCCCATTGCGGCAGGCTGTAACCGATAATTTGGAGAATAAAATGGCAGCCTGCCAAAGCTGGGTGAAGAGTTCAATAATGGCTCATTATCTTGTAGTAAGGGCCTGAACCCTATATTATATATATATATTTAGCATAAATGCTAAATATATATCTTTTAGGCTCCATATCTACTATGAAAATAATGTAGTCGTGGTTTCGCTAATATGAATGGACGAATGTTATTTTTTTTAAATTCAGTCATTTAAAAGAAGAATTTAAACAACATTTTGTTCTACATCTGGGCAAACTGTGTCTGGAAGTAGAGCAGTATTGCGAACAACTGATTTTGAAAAAAGCGGTGACAATAGAGGTTAACCCTTCACTTATTTCAGCCCCATCTACCTGTCTAGACTTCTTTAGATTCTACATTGTACTCAGACGACCAAATACAGCAAAAATAATCATCTCAGTTTGAGTTGGCATGCAAGGCGAGCTACAGCTCACTCGACCGTGCCTTATCTCACAGTAGTGGGCGTCTCCCACTTTCTCCCACTCACTCATTTTGCTGCATGCTGCCATTTTAACTGTTGTTGAGTGGCAGGCAGGAGGGCGGGGTTGGTAGTGGCGGCCATGATGGTGGAATCGCTACACTCATTCCTGAGGAACAGTCTCAACATCAAAGCCAATTCGCACATTGGGCTATGTTGTGGTTCAGGCCAAAACCAGGGACTCTAGGTATAGGACAAAAAATGTGATATATACAAATTATACCAACATCTCCCTTTATGTACGGCAAAACATTTGTATTAGAAAATAAACACATACACGTTATTCTGACAATTAACAATTAAGAGAAAAAATTATTTGCAAAAACCTCTATAAGAAAATTTGACTCCTCTCATCTGTGACATTTGCATGTGTTTAAGGTTCATACTCTGTATAGATGAATACTGTGTGTCGTATTAGTGTCTTCTTTAGGTTTTTACTGGATTTTAACTCAGATTTGCATTGCACTACCCTTTTCTTGAGCTTACATTTGTAATATTTATATATAAGCTCTGTATAAGTACAAATTAAAAGAAATGCGGATGTTGGGAAGAGCTGCACATATGCTGCACATTACTAGCATCTATTGAAATACAAAAAAATAATCACATTTTCAAAAAGATAAAACTGAATAAAATAGAACACAAAACTACTGTATGTCTATCCAAGGTAGAAAGTTGTCTTTGGCTCAACAAGGCACAACATAAAAACAGCTCAGGTAGACAAGAATAACTTGAGTCAATGTAAGAATATTTTTGTTTTACCTATAAACTGCCTGTTGAATATAATATTTAACAAGATGAAATAGATATCAAGTTTACTTACTGCGCATGAGAAATAAAATGTCCAAAAATGTATCAAAATCAAAAAACAATCATGAACCAAAAACAGCATGACCTCCTTGGTGTCAGAATATGCCACAAATTAAATAAACAAAATCTTCCATCCAAGAGTATCATTGTGGGATTAGATGAACTAAAGCAAACCAACATAACATTCTCAGTAAAGTAACACTGTTGTTTCACAGTTGAAAGGCAAACGCAATATTGTTCTCTATTTTGCACAACTGTCCTGACGTCCTCTAACCTAACTGAAAACGTCACAATTATTACATTTAAAAAAAGGAAGTTTTGCCAACAAATTCATGCTTGTGGTCCCTCAAAGCAGACTGTGTATTATGTGGGTCACTTTCATACCTCCGCCTCATTTCCCCACCCCCAACCCTGGAAATTAAAAAGAAAAAAAAATCTTCCTTGAATGACCAGAGTGGCTCCTAACCAACTACATTTGAGGTCAAAGTTCATTATGTCCCCCTGGCAACACCAGGGCAACAAGCAACGGTGTCTAGACAGGTCATGGTATCCCCCCCATGCCCAAACCAACCCACCACCCCCTGGCTCTTTCCGGAAGGAGGTGTCAGCAGCAGCCAAGTGCAGGGTAAACAAGGCAAGGGAGGGTGGCCTTTGGCCCTTCTGAGGTCGGATCAGCACCTCCACCCTCCACTGATCAAAGATGAGGATCCTCCATGCCAGGGCCTTGGTCAAAGGGGGAAGGGTCGGCAGATGAACTCTGCGTTTCTGTAATCTAGACGTGTCCAGACCCGATTGTCTTCTTTCACAGACCAAAATGGACCCTTCCGGTGCCGCTGATTACATTAGGGAGGACAGCCTCTTTTCACTGGGGCGCCCGGACAAAAGAGGCGCTTCCGTGCCCCTCGCCATCTGGTCCCAAAATAACAGAAAAGGTCCCAGGAAAAAAAATAAGCCCAGCCAGCACACAGCCTAAATGAAAGGAACGCTGTTTGAATAGATGGGATGGCTGGACAGATAAGCAAACATACAGTAAAGCCCCACACATTTCATTTACGCAGAGATTGGAACCCAATCTAAATCAGCAAATAAAGCAGTGTACATGGGCTGTGATGAGCAGGTCTGCAAATCACTGATGGATTTGAGCAGAAATGGAATTCTGCTGTGCACCAAATAGAGAACTGTGACACACATACATCATTATTATTGCAAGCTATCTGTGCCCAGAGGCTCTTCACCAGTTTATACTAATCTATGTTGTACCACAGAGGACCACGTGGATAGATTTGTAATGGAAATGAGAAGAAAAACACTAAAATATGAGATAGTTCTGAGTTTTTAATACAACGCAGTCAATAGAACAAGGTAAATAATTTAAGACAAAGTACATTTTTTTTACTTTAGGATTTACTAAAATCAGCACTGTTGCTACACAGGCTTGTCACATCAGGTTGATTGCCAGTTAGCAATAGTAGCAATAGTATTTGCGAACTCATACAGTCTGCATGCTGTATGTCTGTCATATCCCTATTGGTTTGTTATGCCCAGTCCACTTTGTCAAAGTGGACTGGGCAGTGTTTTGCACATGACATCATGACTTTTGACCATTCCTGTCGCATATCAAATAATTTTGTTTTGGTTGTCGGGGTATTTGGCATAATTGTAGCTCATGTTGCCTCGAAAACTTCCCTGAAATCCAAGTCCTTGTTACTAGACCTCTATTATAGCTGAAAAATGCAGAAAATGCTAACAGGCATTCCACATAATATTATTAGCATTTGTAACATTGTTTGCAATTGTGATGAGTTGAGATTGATTTTCATGAAGTGTTTATTTCTTTACATTTCCTGTATGTGCAGTGTAACTACCGGAGTGATACAGAGTAATAACCCAGCGTAAGGTTAATCAAAAGAGCACCTCACTGTTAGTTATCCATCACCTTGACATCTTTGAAAACCTGATAATTAATATAAAGTAGCAAATGAATCAAACTGGATGTATAGCAAATTTTAAATAAAAGCCTTAAAAGTGCTCCAGAAATCTTTATTTCTTTCATTAGAAGATTATGTCCAATTTAAAATCCAGCACAACACTGTTCGTGTTATAATAATGTGGTCTGTTCACGTCAGCATCTCTGAAAGGTAACATGCTTAACATGCAGGTACCGCAGGTGAGCTACATGGTGTTACACTGTCACAAAATGTATAACTTGGGTCTTTCTGGAGCTTTGCTGTGCCAATGCTGATTATGTGCTCTGCTATGCACGGCTTGGTTTTCTCTCACAGTCCACAAGGAAATTTAGTAAATAAACAGCCTCATTAGTGGCAAAGGTGATGCTGCCCTTGATCTTGAATGGTTGTGTCAGGAGAAAGGTGAATGTGCAGCATTGAGAACTCAAATTGGATTGAGTAGCCGGCCCATATGGGACTACCGGCTTTGTTATGAAAACTGATTTCGTAACAAAGCTAAAAATCTAAATTCAGCTCCTTACTGGCACATGCCAAGTAACGATGAAAGAAGCACTGTGTACAAGCACAAAACTACCCCGAAACATATTTTTTTTAACATTTTCTAACAGCTAGAAATCACAGCAATAATGTGCTTCAAGCCTAAAGCTGATATCAGAGGATTCTCAAAATCAATGAGTCACTACATCTACCAATCATGATAGCAAATTCTGAACTAATAGTACAACTAATAGTATGAACCAATTCACTGTTATCTCTTTAAACCCTACACACAGCAGGACTACAGTAAATATATACAGCTACAACGCAGATTTCTCTTTTAAATTAATGTACATATCCAAGGTTTCGACCTATCATCCTAACTTTGACTGCAGATATATGGGATTTATCAAATCCAAATCAATAGTATTGCCAGAACAAATTGATGCTTTAATGAATCATGAAATATGCATATTATTGGAAGAGCTAGGGCATATCCAAGGTAAAACTCATGCACCAAAAGACAATTTTTGATAGTTTATCTTATTAGCTTTAAACTCCACAGAAATTATGTAAAGCTGATTACTGAAATTTCATGTAATTTTAATATTGTCTTAAATTTCGCTTTGTGTGTTAAAATATACAGTATCCCAGGTCTGACATAGCACACGTTTTTTATGTAAGGTATACAAGGCTATTCAGTGAATCAAACTTTTCATGTTCTGCAGATCCTAATTCCCCAACTTTTCTCTACCTGCTTTTCTTGCTTCATTCTTCATTATAAATCACACCAAGGCCCCGTCGATTCAGCTGTCGGTTTTTAATCCATACTTTTTTAAAAAGTGAACTGCATGAAAAGAAGCAAATGACTAAACAAATCAGCAAAAGAACTGTGGTTACATACATGCACATCCAAGCAGCTGAAAATGGTCAAATTGCACAGATAAATAAGTCGATTCTTAAAAATGAATGTGAATGACAGTCTACTGGTGTGATTTTTGACAGCTATATCCTGAGAAGAGAGGAAATGACTGTAGACTTCAATGTCTTAAAAGACCTACTTCAAACATGACAACAAGCTCTTCTCATCTCTGCTGTGATGCAGCAACATCCTGCAAGTATTTTACATCAGATTTTTTCATTTATGTCATTTCTAGGAGAAGGAGTTAATATAAAATCAATAGGGAGAGAATACACAAACAAGTGAAGCAAGTGGGGTGCTGGGATCTGTCTGCTGTTCTTGTGATTAAGCTCAAGAGGAAAATGAGTACTTTTTTGTCAATACGAAATAAAAGTTCTAAACTTCAGAGATGAGGCATATAACTGCTCTATAATGCTGAAGACTTTCTGTATTGACTTGCATTCAAACAAGGATCTGAAGTGCATAAACATGGCTTGGACATCAGTTGTCAAATATAATGGTTGTCCTTTGTAATGATGCTGCACACTTGCACCTGCTTTGGTTCCCTTCAGCATTGACAGTCAAACCTCTAAAAAAAAAAACCCAACAAAATGATGTGGCTGATGTTGCTTTTCTTTGTTCTTTGTTTTCTCAAGAAGTACTTGTTGGCCTTGCAATTTTTGATAAAAAAAACAGTAAGAAAAAAGTCTGTATACCAGAAGAGAATACAAAATTCCAGGGCGGCTAAAGCCAAACTGTTCGTGGAGTTTTGTTGAGGTGAAAATGTCGCAAGACGACATATTACTGGTAAATTGTGCAAAAGTTAAATATTGCTTTAAAATGTGTGGGAGTCAGAGACACACTGTAGGTATCAGCCACTTAACAACAGCTGAATGTTATGACACTATGAGAAAATCACTTAATTTACTTGCTATACCAGTGCAGCCCTGGCATAAATGTTAGCACTTGCTTTTCTATAAACTCAGACAATCTTACACCGAAGTCTTACGAGCAGAAAACTGTTTTAT